CCCGCTATACCGCCCCCACCTCTCGCTATACCGTCCCTCCCACCTCCCGCTATACCGTCCCTACCACCTCCCGCTATACCGTCCCTACCACCTCCCGCTATACCGTCCCTCCCACCTCCCGCTATACCGTCCCTACCACCTCCCGCTATACCGTCCCTACCACCTCCCGCTATGCCGTCCCTCCCACCTCCCGCTATACCGTCCCTACCACCTCCCGCTATGCCGTCCCTACCACCTCCCGCTATGCCGTCCCTACCACCTCCCGCTATAGCGTCCCCACCACCTCTACCCAGACCACATCTTCAACCTTCTGCGAGACCTATCCACTTCAGAACACGTCTGTTTACTCCCACTCACTTACCATAACCTCGATCGCCTACTCCCACCACGCGCCAGACCCCAGCCTGCGTCCTCACGACAAACACCGCCCCCCACCCACCCACAGAATCTCGCCACAGCCATTATAACAGTACCCGTGCAAGCTTCTTGAAGAGTCCATCTCAGTGTGATCGGGGCGCCCAGACCTCGCCAGCAGAGATACTATACTAGCAGATATAATATACGGCAGTCAGAGTGAATATGTATTGGATGGCAACCGCTCAGAAGAGAATAGACGCGAATCGACGTTCGTTCTTGCGAGAGGCTAGGGTGAACTTTTATTGCGCCCCAAGGCAATACGCGCTGATCAAATGTGCTGATTTACCTGCTTGCTAAATGATCAGGTTTTCTACATCTACTGTACATGAGAAGCGATACGCTTCTATGCATGTGCCTGAACGTGCAACGATGTGAATTCATGTAGGTTCTTTATTGGGAAAACTAAATTTTCAAACCGTCAAAACTATACCCTTATTAGTACACAAGGACGAGCTACAGTGAAATAGGGGAGCCTGCGTGCATGCATCCATCGATCAAAAGCGCGTGTAGGAGAGGATCAATGTGAACCACGAAAAACTCGCGCATGGAAATTTCTTACATCATACCTAGGAACGGCTGGGCGCTGGCTGTATCGTGCATTTAGATACAAAAGTTACGAGCAATTTGCCATAACTTTATAAACGGCCGCGCTTCAGTGCTGTTTTACTAAATTCATTTAGGCGAGTCTTATAATGCAAACCCTGCATCCACAACAACCGGCACCATTGGAAACAAGAAACGATTTTAACCTGCAAAACTATACCTTTATTAGTACACTAGCACGCGCTATAGAGAAATAGGGGAGCCTGCGTGCATGCATAGATCGATTGACGTACAAAGCGCGTGTAGGAGAGAGAGGATCAATGTAAACCACGAAAAAATTGCGTATGCAAATTTTGTCATGTTTGTCATTTAGCCACGTAACAAATCGTTATTGGACATAGCTGGATTACCTGGTGAAAGTACAAGACGCGGTGAAACTTGAACGGAACCATGGACCAGTACATTTATTACCCTGGTGCGTCGTGCATGCGTGCGTGCGTGAGTGCGTCGTGCATGCGTGCGTGTGAGTGTGTCGTGCATGCGTGCGTGCGTGCGTACGTGAATGCGTACGTGCGTGTGTGTATGTGTGTGTGTGTGTGTGTGTGTGTGTGTGTGTGTGTGT